CTTAAGACTGGTTTTGTGCTCCAGGGTCACATTTAAATGTGTGTGAATACTCACTGGTTGAGGAATGCAAACAGGTATCTCATGACCACGAGTGTTGGCCGTGGTGCTGTGGTCAAGATCTTGCGGATGGAGAGGGCACGTTCATACAAACTCTCTGTTCCTGTTGAATGCACACGAACACGCTCATAGTTCATAAACAAGGAAAACTAGACGTCCCATGTTCTCAAACAGGCAGGGACTCTTTTATATTCACATGAAAAGACAGCAGCTGTCCAAACTCCCCAGGAAACCCGAGTACTTAGCACCCTGTCATTTCCCGAACGCTTTTGCCACCGTTTCTCACACACACACCTTTCCTTTCCTCTCCTTCCTCCATCCTCCATCCTGCCTCATACACATACATGCACACATAAGAACGCAGGGAAACAAGCACTCACGGACGCAGGCGATGAGATCGTTGAACTTCTCCTTGGGGAAAAGCGGGTTGTCCAGGTTGCGGAAGTACATTTTCAGCACGCCTGCTACCGAGTTAATGTCATGGTTATTCTCCTCGTCAGTCAAGGGGTCGTTGCCTGGGAAACAGTCACGAAGATGAGAGTGTATCCATGGTGATAGATCTTTTTCATTAAAATCAGTGATTTTCACATTTGAACACTGAGCTTTTAAAAAGCCATTGGCATTTATTATTAAATCATCACAATTTTAATTGTTTTAATTTAAGGGAGACTGTTAAACTGTATTTAGTCAATGCTATTTGTTCATATTATTATACATATTTTATTTTTTTACAATTATTTAACATTTTTCTTAAAATCATTACAAATTACAGGGTCAATGTCACCAATTTGTTTATTTAACTGGTGACACAGAAATAGCGCAAAAAATTGTTATATTACACCATAATATAATTTTTTATATTACACCATATTCAAAATCATTTATAATTAATAAAAAAATAAAATAATATAAAATACAATAAAAAAGAAAGAAAAGAAAAGAAATAAAAAGTGACATTTTACAATGTGCAGAGGAGGTACCATATTAATTTATGGTTTTATGCAAGTAACATTAAGTGGAAATTAGTCACCACTTCTATAATAAAATAAAATGTTAAATTTTTCTTTTTTATTTAATTGGTGACACAGAAATAGTGCAGGATATTTCTTCTTAATATTACGCCATAACTTATCTGTAAAACTTATCTAACTTACATTGTTTCACATATTTCAGAAACGTTCAACTTGTTTACTTCACTAAATAAAGTAAAATAAAAAAATTAAATAAAATGTGACTTATGTAGAGGAGGTACCAACTATAATAATGTATTATGGTTTTATGTAAGTAACATTAAGTGGAAATTAGTCACCACTGTTATAATAAAATAAGATTTTCAAATTTTCAATACATTTTTTTACTTGGTGACAAAAATTGTGCATAATATTTCTTCATCGTATTACTCTATAACTTATATTTGTTTAAAATTAACTTGTTTCCTTCCAGATTTACATTTTTTTTT